AAAAAAAAAATAAAGGTTAGTTGAAGGACACAGCAAGTCAAGACAAAGGCCTTCTGCCTCAGTGTCCCATACTCAGTCCCTTCCAGATGCAACCTCACCAGTGCCCATGCAACCAGCTGTGTGTCTGAAATGGAGGTGCCAGGGTTCAGGTCCTGAGACATAAACAGGGCTCCAGGTGATACCCAGAGACCTGGGGGCTGAAAACAAGGTGGAGAGGAATCAGTCCTTCCCCTGAGAGGCTCCTGCCAGGTCCTAGCTGGTCAATTATAATCTGTGGCCATACCAAGTGAGGCCCCCAGGGGGCAGAGTTACCCTGTTCTGGAGAGACAGGAGGCTTCAAGAGGGCTTTGGGACCATGGTTGAGTGATAGAAAGGACTCACCTCAACTGAGCTGAATCCCAAGGTGTCCCAGGTGAATGATGGTGAAAAACAGTACCTGTGAGGAGCAGAGATTCAGGGGTTGTGTGGAGTAGCATGGCCAAGTGTCCCATGAAGCCTGTTCTGGAAGGCAGAGCTTGCCAGTGCTGCCCCTCCTCATCAAGCATCAGTTGTACCCCAAGCCCTGCCCTTCCCTCATGCCTGAGCCAAGGGTGCTTTTTTAACTCTCACCTGAAGGGGCTGATACATGCACATCCTACAGGAGCTTGCAGGCCTTGGCAGAGGTCAGAGTGAGAGGACTGAGGTGGCTGCAGTAAATTCTGGCTGGGGCAAATACTGTAGGCACACAAACAACAAGGTCAGTCTGGAACTCCAAAGGCAGTAGCAGCCATTTTCTCACCTCCCTCCAGGTGTCTATTGAGAGCTGACAAGGTTGAGACAGGAGGATCACAAGTTTGAGGCCATCCTCATCAACTTAGCAAGACCCTGTTTCAAAATTTAAAAAGGGAGGCACTGGGAGTGTAGCTCAGATGAAGAGCACTTGCCTAAGGGCCTATGTGAGGCCCTGGGTTCATACCCAGTATAAAAAAGGTGCTGGGGCGTGCCTAGGACCAGACTTGGCTCCTGCCCTGTAGGAAGGCCCCAGCAAGTTGACTGTGCTTCAGCACAAAGAAAAAAGTCAACCACAGCCTATCTTGGGAAAAGCTAGTCACAGGTAGCCATCCAGGTGCCCCCCGTGGGATTTGCCATGGATGGGGCTCTGGAGGCTTCAGCTCCTGGAAACCTTGAGCATCACCCAGGGCAGAGGCTGTCCCTTAGGAAACAAATCCCATGGCTGTGGAGTCCTGGAGCAGTTGCAGCCCTTGAGGCTTCAATAGCCCCACTGTATTCCCACTCTTGCCACCCAGCACATACCTCCAAGAAGACCATGTTCTTGAGGGCTCCGAGAGTTGTCTCTCAGGCAGGGGTTGTTTCACAATCTTCTCCTGGTCAGTTTTCAGTTTCTAGTCAGCTCCTTTGGGTTCCAGAAGGGTGATACAGAAGCTTTCCCTGCTCACCACAAACCCCATCCCTCTCTGTATAGAAAAGGAGGAGAGTCCCAAAACAGAGGCTTGGAAGGCTGAAAGTCCACAGCAAGGCAGAGCCAGGGGTGGAGGGGGCCCAGGGCTGCCCAAACCTTGAACACCTTGATGAGGCAGCCAGCCAAATGCAGGTGCTCTACAGATGCCTTGTCACTGGGCTTGAAGATATTGATCTGGAGGTAGAAAGGGACACCTTTCTCTCCACCTTTCTTCTGAGGTGTGAACTCAGTGCTGATGCAATGAACCTAGGGTAGGGAAGAAAGCATGGTAATTCCAGGGCTTCTACCCTAACCGTGAGGGTCCCCTGTCAATCACCCCAGCGACTTTCCATTCTCAACCAGTGGCTACTCCTTATTTCATTAGGTTCTTTCCCTTGTTTAAAATCCTCCGGTGATATCCATGATTATAGGAGGGGAAGCAAACTTCCTAGTCCTGGCATTCAAGTACCTTACAGAGTCCAGTCAGGGCTTGCAATGTGGTTGTTCTCCCCCACCCATTCATGAACTCGGCCCCCTTAGCCAGCCTACCCATGACCTCAACACACATTTTCTTCCAAGCACTTTATGGCAGTAATTAATTCTTATTGGGGCTGGGGATGTGGCTCAAGCGGTAGCGCGCTTGCCTGGCATGCGTGCGGCCCGGGTTCGATCCTCAGCACCACATACCAACAAAGATGTTGTGTCCGCCGAGAACTAAAAAAAAATGAATATTAAAAATTCTCTCTCTCTCCTCTCTCATTCTCTCTTTAAAAAAAAAAAATTCTTATTGTCCTCTCACCTCCACCCAAGCTCACCTTCTTCTTTTCCCACCTTTGCTGCCATTACTCCCATTTCACCTCCAGCCTCCTCCCAGCCCAGCTTCAGGATCACCTGCAGAAAGAGAGAAGCCCTCCTGGTTGGGTCCTAGTTGGGATGGCCACACTTGGTTCTATCACTCTCACAGAGAGTGGCACATCTGTGATGCACAGTGGTTGGCAGCAGGAGAGGCACAGGCCAAGCCAGTAAGCGGGCTCATAGAGCCCCCGGCCCCTCCCTCCTCACCAGTGTCCAGGATGCGGTCCCCAGTGTGGCTCCACCGTCATTCACCCAGTTGTTGCTGCTGTGTGTACTGCAGGCACTCATCATGGAACACACGCACCATACTCTGTGGTCACGGGAGGGTGAGGTCCACGGGTGACAGAGTGCCAGGGCCTTTATGAACAGGCCCTCTCGCTGGGTAGACCAGCCTTCCCACTTTCATTGCCAGGAAACATTGGGACCTCAAATCCCCAGACAACTGGGAAACTGAAAAGGTCCCTAGAGACCCTGATTCTCTGCTTCCTTGTCTATAAAATGGGAGAGGTACTACCTTCCCACCCTTCCTTACTCTACCCTTTGCCTTGCAGAATGTATTTCTGTTTTCTATTGCATATGATTCCTGTAATTTCTTGTTTATCTTAATAGAAGGCAGGCCTCCTGGGGAAGGAAGCGGCCGAATCCCTAGCTCAGAACATAGGATGTGGGCTAAATTGATCATTTGGTGAGAAAAGCTCGTTGTGTGTGAATAACACTGTGTAAATGTATTTCTAAATGTCAGCTTGGTTACTTTCTGGCTCTGTGTCCTTCAGAAACTACTCAACCTCTCTGTGCGTGTTTCCTCAACAATTTCTGCCTACCACTGAACCATTTTAAGGGTCAAATTAAATAACAGACTCCAGGGGGTTCCACTCAACAACATCACAGTGATGGCACTGGCTTCCTGTCTGGAGAGAGTCATACCCAGCCTTTGCCAGTTCTGGGCAGGGCGTTGCCTACCTTGAACAGCAGGAGGCACGGAGCAGCTCACCCAGTTTGGGATTATTGAGCATCCGCACCTCATAGGGCTGGCCTGGGGGAGATGAAGAGGATGCGTGAGTCCCACTCTGAGGGGTAGAGTGATACGTATGCCCTCCAGCCCATTCTGAGCTTTCTTCCCCTTCCCTTCCCCTGGCCAGCACACCCTGGTCCAGGTAGGTGAGGCAATCCTCCTGCTGCTTAATGGCTGCCAAGGGGCTGCACAGAGCACATACTGAAACGTGGGGCAGGGGATGTACCCACTGGGGATCTTGGGCAGTTATTCCTGCTTCCAGGAGGGCAAGGGCAAAGGCTCCCTGCCAAGGAGAGGAGAGCACTGCCAGCTTTCCACCCTGCCCCTGATGGCTCTCTATTGCCAGTCCTTCCCTCCAGGGAACTCACAGCTTCCTGTAAAGACATCCATGTTGATCCCAGATGTTGCACTTAACAGCTGCCATTAAATACTTAGGTTTGCGGGGCTGGGGATGTGGCTCAAGCAGTAGCGCGCTCATCTGGCATGCGTGCGGGCAGGGTTCGATCCTCAGCACCACATACAAACAAAGATGTTGTGTCTGCCAATTACTAAAAAATAAATATTAAAAATTCTCTCTCTCTCTCTCACTGTTTCTCACTCTCTCTTTAAAAAAAAAAGAATACTTAGGTTTGCAACCCCAAGGCTTCCCTGATACCCAGCAAATGCCTGAGAAAAGCATTCTGAGGGGCCAGTGTTTGGGGTGCCCCAGGACCTACAAAATTCCAGTGGCGTTTTTTTTCCCCTTCTGGGGATTGAACTCCCCACCCCAGCCACCCACATACTAAGCAAGTGCTTTACTGCTGAGTTACATCTCCAGCCCTTTTTATTTTTTTCTTTTGAGACAGGATCTTGCCAAGTTGCCTAGGATGGTCTTGAACTTGTGATCGTCCTGCATCAGCCTCCTGAGTAGCTAGGATTATAGAACAAAACCAATTCTAGGGGGGCTGGGGATGTGGCTCAAGCGGTAGCGTGCTCTCCTGGCATGCGTGCGGCCCGGGTTCGATCCTCAGCACCACATACCAACAAAGATGTTGTGTCCGCCGAGAACTAAAAAATAAATATTAAAAATTCTCTCTCTCTCTCTCTCTCCTCTCTCTCACTCTATCTTTAAAAAAAAAAAAAAAAAACCAATTCTAGGGACATGTGACCACTTCCTTACCTCTAAAGAAGTTCAAGAGCAGGAAGACTGTTCCCTTTGGCTTGAAATGGACGGCCTTACACGTCTGCCCCAAAGTTAGACCAGGGCCTCAGAGGGATAGGGATCTGGAATTTACCTGAGCACACTGCTGGGGAGCCCCAGGTATAGTTCCCTAGGACTGGGCCACAGGTACTCTGGCTGGTTGTGTCAGAACAACATCTTAGAAAGGGAGCAAGGTCAGCTGTGTAGCACATCGGCAGCAGGCCCCAGCCTCAGCTTTTATACACAAACAAACCCACAAGAGGGTGGGGCACACCCTGGGGCCATTTACTGGCTAGGCACCAGGGGTCCTGGGAGATTCAGGGCCTGTTGGGACAGCCCAAGTTGGAGAGAGTCAAGAGTTGATGTCCCTGTGGCTCCCCACCCATCATTAGCAGAAAGAGGAGATGGTAGTATAGCAAAAGAAAGTCATAAGATGGACACTCACTCCCCTACTGTCCCCAAGAGGCTCAGAGAATTAGGGGCACCCTCAAGCTTCAAGATTGCCCCCAGATCTATAAGCCACTCAAGAATCCTAGAGGCCCCTGGACCTGGGGCCCCACAAGAGGGGCCTGTCCACTCTAGCAGACAGGACAAGTAATACACAGCATTGTATGGACCCACTGTCCTGCCCTCTTTGCCTATCACACACGTGCATAGGCACAGTGGTGACAGGACATTTGTCCTTCACTGCATACTAGAGTTTACAGAACACAGCCTGCTCATCGTGGAAATACTGGAAGAGAATGCTCGGGAGAGGGGATTGCCCAGAAGCCCCAGAGGGACTCGTCTCTGTCCCTTCCCTGTCCTGAGGCATGGAGCAGACTGTGTTTATGGACAGTTACAGCCTGCCTGAGAGAGGGCTTCCTTAAACTCAGCCTCTGTTGTCACTGTGCACAGACAGCCCCAGCCTCCTGTGCCATCTCCCACTATTGTGTTTGGTAGAAACAGACCAAGGCCCTTGAGAGCAGAGACATGTCTAAAAACATCGCCTGCTCTCATGTGACCCTGCCTATTCAAGTTCTGTATTCTGGGGGCCTCTCTGGGGAGAAGAAAAACCAAAGAAGTTACCCCTCCCCTAGGCTGGCACCTCTATCTCCTGGTACCTGGGCCCTTGCTAGACTTGCTTTCTCTTCCCACAGCCCAGACCAAAGGAAGCAGGGAGAATAGAGAGAAGCCACTGGAGGATGGAAACATTCAGCCCCCTGCTGAGATCCCCAAGACTGAGCACTGACCCTGTGCCCACAGTTGGGTTGGAGGCCAGGAGGCACCCTTCAGCTTCCAAGGGAAGGTACAGCAGGATCCCAGGAAGGGCAGAGGAGCGACAGAATAGGTCCCAGAGAGGCTTGGTCCTGCCTGGGTAGGCAAGGGAGATGGGTATGAGGGGAAAGGCTAATTATGGTAGTGGAGGTGGAAAGCATCGAAGCTGGTGAGTGTGCCCTTCAAGGACATCCCCAGGCAGGGGAGTGGGACCCCCAACTCCAGAACCCTGGGAGGGCCCAGAGCTTCTATATTCTCTACTTTTCTGCGGCTCCCACCTCCCACCTGTCTCAGGGCCTCTGAGCTTCTCTCCCTAAATGGTGTTGTTTCCTAATCCCAGATCTCCTAGGCCCTCTGTCGAGGGGGAAAAGCCTGGGCTCCAGGCAGATGGAGCCGGCTGCTTGCAGTTCCCACCCCACTCATTTTGCTCTGCACTCTGGGCCAGGCATAGCACTGGGTCTGAGCACCCATCTTTGGGGCAGAAGTGGTTCAGTCCCTGGAAGGGTGCAAGGGCATGATGAGGCAGGGGCACTGCCCAAACAGCTCATTGGCTTGCTTGCTGCTGCTCTCCTCCTCTCCCTTCTCCTCTCTCTTTCTCCTTTTCTTTCTCCTTCTTCTAACTAGAAATTGAATCAAGGGGTGTTTAACCACTGAACCACATCCCCAACCCTTTTTATTATTTTTTTTAATTATTATTTAGAGGCAGAGTCTCGCTAGTTTGCTTAGAGCCTCACTTAGTTGCTGAGGCTGGCCTTGAATTTGCAATCCTCCAGCCTCAGCCCCCTGAGCCACTGGGATTATAGGCGTGTGCCAACTGCACCTATCTAGCTCCTCATATTTCTGAACATACTTCCTCTCCTGTAAAACAGGGGCAAGGCCTCCATCCTTCTCTATGTGGCAGTGAAGATTAAAGGAAATCCTGTGGAGTCAAGGACCCCCATGTTCTTACCAGAGCTCACTCAA